CGGTAAGTAATTACTTACCGACGCGTTATCTGATCGGTAAGTAAATTAAGTATAATTTGTCCAGAAAGCTGCATTTTTTAAATATTTATACTAAACATAACCATAAAACAGTAATTTTGCATTTCTTTGGACAAAAGATGCTACACGACTTTTCATTCTTTAAACACTTGAAAGTTGTATGTTTTTTCAAGGCGATGTTTTGACTTCTTTGTAATTATATTGTTCAATGTCTGTATTTTCTGCGCTCTAAGAATAATTTTTTTAAAAGTAAAAGATAATTTCTAACTTACTTTTGACAATAACGTGACAGTAGATATACTACACCGATACGGGACCGGAAGTGAGCCAGACAGGTGGATGGGCGTTCCTAAAGGGGGCGTTCCTAAAGGGGGGGCGTTCCTAAAGGTGATTGGTCCAAAAAATAGGGCCTAATCGATGTTTGTGGTTGCAAAACCCCGCCCAGTAGAGTGTGATTGGCTGTAGATAGGCCGGTGGTTGGCTGATAGGCCCCCTGCAAATAGCTAATGGGCGGTCGTCGGATGTCGGCCATTTGCAAATAGCGCCCTCTACTGATAAGCGGTAGTAAAAGCAACGAACTAGAGATAATAAGCGCCCTCTACTGATAAGCGGTAGTAAAAGCAGCGAACTAGAGATAAGGGAAAGGAAGCTGGTGATAAGGAGGTGGGCGTGACTTAACAGTGGTTTGGCATCCGCTATTTGGAGATAAGGATTTATTATTAATTATATAAATTTCATTTTTGACGCCATTTTGAATTGTGACGTCAATTTTTTAGAGAGAAGGATATATTTTAAATTATTAATATAAATTTCATTTTTGACGCCATTTTGAATTGCTGACGTCATCCGACTTGTCCTAACAAGTCTATTTTTAATCCCAATGACCTGAGACCACCCCCTCCCTTTTTTAGTCACGTGACCAATGGGAAAAATGCGCGGGAAAAATCATAGGCTAGCTCCAGAGACCTTTTTCTCACAATTAGGTGTGTCCGACCTTTTTTATTAAAATTAAATTTTTTTAATATTTTGGGACCGATCGGTACTCGGGAACCATCGGTTTTAAATTTTTTCATATAAAAAGACGTTGTTTTAAATATAATGATCAGTCATAATATTGCTTTATGTTGATAATGGGCTTTAAATTGTTATTAATATTTCTGCTAAGTATAATCTTAGTAAAGTCAACAAATTTAACTGATAAAGATGCTGTAATAAAACATCTCGAAACATTTGGTTACCTTAATAGTTCAGAGTTTTCGCTGACTAATTATGAAGAAGCTTTAATATTATTTCAGGAGAGATAATTTAAACATAAGTGGTGAAATAACGAAAGACCTTTTAGAATTTATAAAAACACGTCGTTGCTCTATACCAGATGAAAACATTTATGAATTGACGCAAAACCCACCTAAATGGAATAAACATAATATATATTGGTATGCATATAATAGAGAGATAAAAAGAGTTGCTACTAGAGCTTTCAAAGAGTGGGAAAAATTTGTAAATCTAAAGTTTATTTTTTCGTTTAGAAATCCTGACATTCTAATTTCATTTGGGAAAAATAACCATAGTAATTCAGTTCGATGCATGAAGGGTTATTGTATTGTACCATTTGATGGAAAGGGTACTGTAGTTGGTCACGCATACCACCCAAGTCATATTAATTCCTGTACGGAAATTCATTTAGATTCAGATGAAAATTGGTATTTTGGTTTCGATATACCTGAAGATAATGATAAAACAAGTCTATATACCGCATTGCTTCATGAAATTGGACATACTTTGGGGTTGAGTCATTCATCAGATAATAATGCACTAATGTATGCATATTTTTCACCAAATATAACAACCCTATCCGATGAAGATAAAAAAAATATACAAAATTTATATGGATTACCCCCAACTACTCCAAAAATAGTAACATCAACAACCCCAAAAACTACTCCAAAAATAGTAACATCAACAACCCCAAAAACTACTCCAAAAATATCAACAACAACAAAAACAATCCCAACTACAAGGAAACTTACAGATAAACCAAGAACAACAAAAACAATTTTAACAACAAGCAGACCTAAAATAACGGGTTCTACACAAAAACCTACATACACATCATCAAATTTAACTGATTTATGTCAAATCGAGTATCCACAACAAATGTTAGTCACAAATAATAATCATCTGTATGTTTTTAACAATGGGTTAGCGTGGATTTTAAATATAGGGGAGTCCTCTGGTATAAATATCAAAAGGCCTAAAAAAATTAGTGATTATATTAAATTAAATGATTTTTTACATATATACCAAAAACCTAGTGGTAGTGTGGTAATAATAGATAATTTAAAACGTGTTAGTACGTTTTCTTTTCCTAGTCTTGCATGTGAAACATTTAATCAAACAATAGACAAATTTAATATTGCTCGAAGTAGCAACATAAATGCCATTTTTAACTCAAACAGAGGTAGAACTTATATTATTCATGATGATTATTGGGTTACTGAAATTGATGAATGTAGTTTAAATGCAGTCAATCGGGGGACTATAAACCAGTTTTTCCCAGGAATCCCTCCAGATATATCTTCAGCATTTCGCTATACAAATGGTAACATTTATTTTTTTTTTTTAAATTATTTTATGAATATAATGAATTTTCTGGTAAATTAATAAGAGCAGGAGTTTTTGATTGGAGTTTATTTGGAATAAATTGTCCGAATGAAACAATTTTAAATCAATTAAAAAATATATTAACATCCCTTTCAACATACTTTTATTAATAATTATAAAAGGTTAACTTTATTTAAAAAAAAATCATTTCAATGTTGACTTTTAAAGGTGGCGGTTTATTAAATTCGGTAATTAACAACCTACCCTTTGAGCTTCACGTACCCTCTTACCAATTTTGTGGGCCAGGTACTAAATTAGATAAGAGAATTCAAAGGGGTGATACTGGTATAAACCCCTTGGACGCTGCATGTAAAGATCACGATATTGCTTATTCAGAAAATAAAAGTTTGGCGGAAAGGCATAAGGCAGATTGGATTTTGGAAAATAAAGCTTGGCAAAGGGTGAAATCAAAGGACTCTAAATTGGGGGAGAAAGCAGCAGCTTGGTTAGTAACAACTGGAATGAAGGTTAAAAGAAAACTTGGAATGGGTATTCGAAAAACTCGAAAACCAATCTCATTTAAACGTGGTTTGGTTGATAAAATTAAAAAACATGTTCAAGATTTAGATATATCTAATCAAAATTCACTTAAAAAATCTGCCGCAACGGCAGCTCGGGTGATTATAAAGAAAGCCGGGGGTCGTAAAAATATTAAAGTACCTAGGATAATTCCATTTGAATCCGACAAACAAGGAGGATTTTTACCCCTTTTACCAGTATTAGGAGCTTTGGGGGCCATAGGATCATTGGCTGGAGGCGCAAGCGCTGTAGCCAAAACGGTGATAGACACAAAAAATGCTAAAAAGAAACTTGAAGAATTAGGTCGACATAATAGGGCTATGGAGGAAATTGGGAAAAAAGGCTCGGGATTATATTTAAAAAGGAATGTCAAGGGAGGATATGGTCTTTTTTTAAAACAAAAAAACTACCAATAAAGCTACCCAATAGAGCCCTATATGATTCTGAATTGGTAAAATATGCACAAAAGCTTAAAATACCCTATTTTAGAGGGGTTTTTATGCGAGACGCTTTACCAAAAATAAAAAATAAAAATGAATCTGCAATCCTAAATTTAGACATTTCGAAAAATTTGGGTACACATTGGGTAGCTTATACTAAAAGAAACAATTCTGTTATTTATTTTGATAGTTTTGGTGGTCTTAAACCGCCAAAAGAATTGGTAAATTATTTAGGAAAAAATGTTAAAATTAATTATAATAATGATTGTTTTCAAAACTTTAAACAAATTAATTGTGGCCATTTATGTTTGTGGTTTCTTTATAAAAATAAATGAGATAAGAAAATATGATTAGTCTATTATTAACCGTTGTTTAAAGATAATGTCCCAGCTATTTACATTAAAAAGTAATAATTATGTTTTAAGTATAGATTTTACAAATCCAATACAACTTAATCCAGATTTTGACTACGGTATAGCATTAATAGGGTTTTATTCCTATAACAGCATCCCTAATATTGAAGAAGGTGAAAATACATTTTATTATAAAGAAGCGAGTGTGGTAAAAAAAAAATAATACCAACTGGTACTTATGAAATATTAGATATAGAAACGTACCTAAGACAACAAATTATTCCTGGCAACGTTAAAAAGGAAGATTATGATAAATATTTTTCACTTAAACCAAATAATAATACTTTAAAGTGTGAAATTCAAAGCAATACGTTGGAAATAGATTTTACACAAGCAGATGGTATAGGAAAAATATTAGGATTTTCTAAGCGTACTTTAACGCCGGGTAAAAAACACGAATCAGATCTCCCAGTTAATATAATAAAAGTTCGAACCATTCACATCGATTGTAATATATCTACAGGTGCTTATTATAATTATCTACCAACACATACAATTTACGAATTTTCAGTAGACGTTAATCCAGGCTATACAATCAACGAAATTCCCCGAAACCTTATATATTTACCAATAATAAATAAACAAGAAATATTTAATATTACTTTGGTAATTTTAAACCAAGATTTTAAACCAGTTAATTTTCGTGGAGAGGAAGTTATAGTTCGATTGGAATTAAAAAAATTATCATAATGGGACTAACATTCAATAATTATTATAAAAATCCTAGCACAAACAATTTGAAATCAGTTGACAGCAAACGCTTGCCTAGTTCAAACAGCTTAACTAATTCAAATAGACTTTTTCTACAATCATTAGGATATAATGTCATCATTAGACCAAATCTTCGACATCTATCGAAAACCACAGTTTAGTGAAACAATTCAAAAGGTTGACTACAGAACTTATTACCCCTATGTTAAATCTTTTAATAATTGTGATGTTATAGAAATTTCAATAAATCAAAGAGATTCCTGGTTGCTTATGCACGATGCAGCTCTATTAATAGATGGTAAATTGGAAATAACTGAAGGGGATGGCGAGGCAGCCTTAATAAATAATTTTGGAGCTTTTTTGTTTGACCGAATTTCTTATGAAATAAATGGAAAAGAAATTGATGGTATTCGCGACCCAGGTATTGTGAGCACAATTAAGGGCTATCTTAATTACAGTAGCGATGATTCAAACCATTTAGGCATTGCAGGGTGGAATTACCCAGCTCAACCAATAGTCTCAACAATAGCCAAAATTTCAACTTTTAATATACGTATACCATTACATCATTTATTTGGTATATTTAATGATTATCAACTAGCCCAATTTGGTAAACAAACTATACGTCTTGTAAGAGCTCGAAATGACTCTGATTGTCAAATTATAACAGAAAAAACTGCGGCTGCTGCTGGCACAACAAAGGCTAAATTAACCGTTGAAAATATCTCGTTAAAAGTACAAGTTATTACACCCAATGATTTATTAAAGCTTCAGTTGTTGGAATCAATAAAATCAGACAAACCTATAGTAATTTAGAAAGTGGGAATCTCATGAGCTACCCCAATTAACTAAAGATGCCACTAAGGAAATATGGTCAGTTAAAACGTGCACTGCATTGGAAAGTCCACGCTATATAATTTTAGCTTTTCATACCAATAGAAGAGGTAATGATACAAAAGATCCCTCATATTTTGACAACATTGATATATCTGATATACGTGTTATCCTCAATGGCGAATATTTTCCTATAGAACGCATGGACCTTAATTTTGAAAAAAATAACTTTATCGAGGCCCATCACAATTATATACAATTTTATTCAAGTTTTAAAAATGATTTAACAATATCAAAACACTCTCTACTTGATTATAAACAATTTAAGAACCACGCCCTTTTTGTAATTGATTGTTCCCGAAGAAATGAATCCTTAAAATCGAGTACAGTTGACATCAAAGTTGATATTGAGGCGAAAAAAGGCTTTCCCGATAACACAAAAGCACATATTGTGTTATTATACATGACGTCATTATGGAGCATCTTCCACTCAGTGAAATAGTTCGTAGTTTATCATAATGCTGTTTAGTTTAAATTATTCTGCCTAAGATGAAGGTTGTGTCTATAAATATTCAGGGATTTAATTTATTCTCTAACGAAAAATGGTTTTTTCATCCAAAAGAAGTTACGGTTACCAATGGATTGCAAACAAATCATTATCTCTTAAAACCAATGGTAGAATTTAAGCTGTTATCACGAAAAAATAAAACACAAGTTTGCTTTGAAGAAAAAATTCATGGTCTACGATATTCAAGTGGATATATAAATTTCAATGAGATTAACAACATTTTAATGGAATTATTGCCTGAATACGATACTGTTTACACAAAAGGAAATCAAAATTATGAATATTTAAAAACAGTCTGTGAGCAGTTATTACCAAATATAAAAATTATAAACGTTGAAACATTAAACCTTTGGGAACAACCTTTGTTTAAAAACAAACCCCTCATGTGTTTGGATCATTTTAGAAGCGGTAGGTGTAGTACAACACATGCCTTAGTATTACATAATTGGCTTCAAAGTTATCTACCCCATAATCATGGATTGTAAAGAATTTGCTCAAAGAAAAATAAAATTTTATAAAGAATTGCAAGCATTAAAAGAAGACATTGAAATGTATGAACTGTGTAAGGCTTTTGCTGCTATGAGCATTTCTGAGGATCTGAGGAAGGATTCGCTTGACATTACTTATTTAAAAAAAAAATTATGTGCTTTAAATAAAATAATATTATAATAAATAAATAAAAAAATTATATTGTTTTTATGTATAAAATTAGAATAAAACTCAAAGGTAAGTTAAATAATATATTTATTACATATTTTTACATTTATTAAATACATAACCTAAAAAGTATAAAAATCCATAAATAGTTAGTAAAATAATTCCTACTATTAACAGAGATATAAATTCTATAAATATTTTTGTGGAAAATGTTGTTGAAGAAGCCACCCCCGATTCTGTAGTGGTTGATAAATTGGTTAAATTAGTTATTACACTATTTAAACTATTTATTTCAAAAAGGGTTCTAGTCTTTCCACCATCTGCTGATAAAATATATTTTAATTTATAATGTAATATAGAGCTATTTGCTGAGGCATTAACTTGAATCTTGAATGTACCAGGAGCTGCATCCATTGGATTCCAATCATTTGGCCATTGAGTCTTTACCATTGGATTATCAACACTGAATGCCACATAACAATCCTGAGTGTTTTTGGGAAAATTTACAAATAAAGTATTATTAATGAATGTAGATAGTAATAAAAAATTGGCTACTGAAAACATGTTTACTCAATGATAGTAACTTAACAACTAATTATTTTTCACAATTTTGAATTATAGTCGCCTTATATTATTAATTTTTTATTATAAATAAATTGTTATCTTTACAATTTTTATTAATGTAAACATAACGACCTTGTTTTGGTGGGGGTGGTTGATAATTCTGCAGCACCCATATTGGTGGTTAAATCAAATGCGCATAATGTGTTTAGTATTGAACAGAGTAAAATTGGTTTAAGTCCATATGATGATAAAAGGCATTTATTATCAAATTCAACAGATACTTTACCTCATGGGCACTTCAAGATTAATAATATTATGTAATAATTATTTCTAATTTTAATAAATATATTTTATTTATTTTAAATTATTGTGTTTTTATTAACAACAATCATCATTAAAACTCAAGGGTACGTTTAAAAATCAGTATATTTTTCTAAATCATTTGACATTTTCATATCTAAATAGTATAAGCATTCTAAAAAACAATAACTTTCTACACTAGTACCGCAAGAACATAGGGATGACAGAACGTCTAGCACAGCATGAAGGGATGGAGGATAAAAACGAAGTTCAGTTTTCATCGCTTCATATGTGCTTTTTAATAGATTATGATAATAATAATTAAAATTTAAATTATTTAACATTTCAAGTTTTTTTTAAATTAACTTTTCCAATTCAAGAATTTCAAAAACATCATTTAGCATAAAATACAAAATGGTACAATCATCTGATATTTTAAAAATTTTATTATTGCCATCAATATTTAATCCAATTTTCATGTTCCTCCAAAGCTGAATTTCATCAGTGCGATGTGCATCCAGAAGTTTTTGGAGTGATTCAATTACATCAACCCATTCACCATATATAAAAGAGAGATGTTCGCTAGTAACTTTGTTAATCACCACTAAGCCCACATTCCAGCGAGAATATTTGGAAATCATAAGTCGTTGTGTAAATTAATCTTTTTTCAGCTTTAATAGCTTCTTCATATCTAATAATCAAAGCATTTAGATTGGAATCATAACCTTCAAAATTGGAATCTGCACTACTACCCATTTTATGTGTGCACTGCTTTACTTTACTTTTTAAACTAAATTAAATTTTGATTTTATGGTGAGAAACTGGAAAAGAGTGGGGTGATCAAAAAGAGTCTGTTTTATTAATATAACTATTATGTGAATCATCGAAGCCCAACCATTTCACGAAGACTTTGTTACCACGTTTATGTAAAACTTTTTCCACCAGGTAAATATCAGGCTGCATTGTTTTTTGCAACTCATCCTCATAAAATGCTCCACTAATGGGTCTACCATTTAAATCCTCCAAAATGTATGTGACTGGGTTTGTAATTTTTACTTTTACAATTTTAAACAATTCTGTAGTCCAATTGGGGGTGTATCCTTTATCAAAAACATGTTTTGCTTTACTTATTCTCACTATATCACCAATGAAAAACTTTTTAGGTTTGGTTGCTAATTTTAAATGTGTAAATGCAAACTTTAAAACTTTTTTTTCATTTTCTTTACAAACATCAATTGGTTTCATATTAATTGTTCTATGTTTTGTATTATTATAATTTGAAACAATTTGTGGCAATATATCAACCCAATTATATGATCCATTTAAACTAAAGTATTTAAATAGGCGTTCTTTTACAGTCCTTATAACACGCTCGGCGATTGCAGCTTTTTTACAACTAAATGTATTATAGTGATTTATTGAATATTTTTGCATAAGTTCATTAAACTTACTATTAAAAAATTCCTTGCCCTGATCAGTCTGTAAGTTTTGTGGACATCTTTCTTTCAATATTAAATTAAAAGCTTTTGTAACTTCTTCCCCAGATTTATTTTTTAATGGTTTAGCCCATAAATATTTTGAAAAACAGTCAATAACAATCAATATGTACTTAAAATTTTTATTATTTGATGCATACATGTCCATCTGCCCTAAGTCTGATTGCCAAAGGTCATCAATGCCCTTAATAATTGTTTTTCGACGTTTAAAATTTTTTCTTATAGGTCTATGAAGTTCATTAACAAGTTTTATTTTTTCCTTGGTGTGTTTCATGATTATGGTGTGGTGGAAGAGTGAGTACTAGCACCAGCAGCCACTGTAATCACTTTTAATATATTTTTCTCCATATCATTGATTGCGGATTTGTTTTTTTTGACGTTCTCAAATAATTTATCCACGTTTGTATCCAGAGACTTTAAAGCTGTATTAAGTTCTTCGATTTGCTTTTTAAAATCTATAATGTTTTGTTCATTTTGCTGTTTTATATCCTTTAAGTTCACATCTTGAGTCTGTTGAAGGAATTTAATTTGCCTATCCAAGTCATTACGTGCATTTACATGCGATCTTGAAATATTCTTTAAAGAATTCAAATCATTGAAAATTATTGTTTTTTGTTTATTAAGTTCTTTAATTTGCTCTTTTAACTCATCGGTATTTTGCGTTAAAATAGCTAGTTCTTTATTTAAATTAATTTTTAATTTATCTTGTTTTTTACTATCGAGGTTTTCAATTTCCTTTTTTATTTTTGCATCCGATTGCTTGAGTGCTTTTAATGTCTCTTGTTCAAATTTACTAAGTGATTTTATTGTATCATCATAAAAATTTGCATATATTTGATCAACATAACCCATATTAGTAGCATCTGCATTTAAAGTTGGTGATTTCACATTACATATTTTTAGGTTTTCTGCGTCAATATTACCATCGGGAGTATATTTTAGTACATTGTTACCATACTGTAATTTTGATAATAATGAATTTTGATTAGAATGGTTAAGGGA